TTGCGGGAAGTGCACCTGGCATACTTGAGAAGGACACCGTTTTGGATTATGATTGAAGCTATATTAATGAACCAGATTGATCACACAGAGTTTCGAAAAGGCGACGATCTGATCGTGCGTATCCTAAGGTCATACAGTGTACGGGAAGGCAAGTTTGTTCTGGGTGGTCGTGGAGTTGACTTGACGGATGAGGATATGAAGCTGTTGTTTGGGCTGCAAGGTGGTAATGCATTCCTTGATTTGACGCCACGACCAAGGCCTGCGTCTGATTTTGTCCAGCGTAGGTGTCCAGGGACAAGCAGGATAACGGCCAAACTTGTGAAGGATTTGCTGATGGAGGCCTTGGTGGGGGACACCCCGAACGATCATGAGGATACGGCCAAGTTTATTTGTCTGTATGTGTGTGGGAAGCTTTTGTTTGCCACGTCCGGAGAGACCATTAGTTGGACCCTGATACGGTATGTGGACAACTTTGACGCCATGAAATTATATGATTGGGGTGCAGCTGTACGTAATATGCTCATGTGTTCGGTAAGGGACTTCCATCGGACACCGGAGAAAGTTACCGGATGCGTAGTTGCTTTAACGGTACGTGTACAACCTGTCTGTGGGTAGTTAATTTCTTGGCTAAAATAAGTTTATGGTTTTTGTTAAGGTTTTGGAGTGGTTGTTATTATGGTTTGGTTGTTTCATGCTTGTTGGTCGACATCATTCTGTAAGGAGAAGTTGTTATAGTCGGGAATCTTATAGAACAACTGGAAATTTCCCGGCAGGAGTCCGGAAAACTTCGAACAAACATAATCGACAATCTCAGCAAATGTGTTGGACGATTACAGATTATATGCGACATTCGTGGACCGGTAAGAACAAGGAAGCATCAAAAGGGCGTCCATCTGCATAACGGCACAGGTATCAGTAAGAAATAACACACGACAGTATGTCAGAAAGACCCATAACTCGAAGATGAAAAAAATTGCGACAGAATTGCAACTACAATGGGAATTGTGCATCGTTGTCAATGTGTGGTTGCAAGTGCGTAGCGAACGGGAATACATGGAATTGGCTATTGTGTTGGTGAAGTCTAATGTTTATCTGTAAACATTAACGTGCCAGTGTGTTCCACAACATCTACGAAGTTGTGCATAGGTGAGGGGGGGATTACTGAAGTGTGGGTATGGTGAGTGAGGGATCCGTAACGGAAAATGAAGAGATAACCTGTATGATATGACGGTGTGAACGTAAGCGGCTGAATTTCTAAGGCGCAGAGACGATCATGAACCCAGAATGTAAACCCTAATTATAATACCTCTTAAATGAATTTTGACCCACTGTCAGGTTCCACAATTGCTGGGATTGCGCATACCAATATGGAAAGCATTTTTAAGGTGAAAGATGAAGAATGCAAGAAACTTATAGCTGAGAATGCTGAGTTACGGCGGAGCCTTGCAGCCCTTGAGGAACAAGTTGCTGAGCAAGCAGTGCATAGTGTGACGCAACATTTCACCAGTGTGAATGTCACGGACCCTAATGTTGACGGATATGTTGTTCGTAATGGGGTTGGTGTTGGTAATGTACAGGACCACTGCCCCACTGTTGAAGGTGGTATCATGGTGGACGCCTCTCCCGTCGCATATGTTCCTATAGTTGACAACAACGAAATGCACGATCCCATCCTACCAGATGACAGTGACGTTGTTGTTGTGAGTCCGTTGTTGACGGAAGGTGGCAGTGCTGTGGGTGGTATGAACTCCTTTGTACGTAACATCAAATGTAAAGTGAGGAAGAATCTGAAGTTATCGGGGTTTGAGTACCCAGAGTTGAGGCGTAAGGGACGGGTGATGAACAACGAAGTGAACGTTTCAAAGACCGGGGTGGTTGGATGTAGTGTCGATGTGGTGAAAAGCCAAAGTGTGATTGATGTGGACGGGGTTGGTGACGGGAAGAAAATTTTCACAGGTTTTGGAATCACGAATCGTAACACAGTGTGGAAGATGATGACTGAGACAGAAAAAGATGTGATAAGCAATGCGTATACATACAGTGATAGGTCAGTACTGTGTGTGTTTGTGGGTTTAATTTTTAAGGAGTGCACTACTAATTGCAGTGGTAGTTTTTTGTACTGTAGTACACAATGTTAGTGTTGTTTATGTGATTGTAATGTTATATGTTGACACGTGTGTAGGGCTGTAATGTGGGTCGGTCGAATTGATGGCAATGCAGTATATTTTTCGGACGTTAGATCACTGGTGAGGCAATTAGGTGTGCGGGGGAATGTAAGTGTTACCAATTCCGTTATGGGTCATACTAGTTTACCGAAATAACTCTTTTGTGAATGTGTGTGACTGTGTGAATATTGGTTTTATTTGGATTCTGGCACTATTTGTTGCAGGTTATTGACGCCTTCGCAGAGGTGCTGTCTGATGAGCAGGAAAGGTTGAATGCGGGAAAAGATTTTCCAGAGAACTCCTATTTCTTCAGCAGCATATGCTGGGTAAGTGTTTTTCAGGTATCCATTGTGTGTCATTGTTTGTGGGTGGTGTTGACTGATCTTGTTTTTTTGGTTTGTCGTGTGTTTTTGATGTGTGCAGGACGTGATGAAAGGTGACAATGTGGAGGCAAAATTCAAGTATGTGACGAGCAATTTACATGCTGGTAGGGATGCACGTTACATCCATTTCCCGGTTTGCCACCTTGGTCATTGGACGTTAGTGGTTTATGATACTGAGGACGGAAGCTGGAAGCACTACAATTCGATGCGGAGCAGGACGGGTACAGGCGGTGTGCACTATGCGGAGGCTGTAAAATTGGTGTGTTGATTTGAATAATGATAGAGTTAACGAGTGTTGGACTAATTTACGTGTATTGGAGGTACATGTTATACATTCTCATTGGGTTTGTTTTTATGGCGCAGAAAAAAATTGTAACGGACATTCAGCGGCAAGCGATGGCTGCAAATGGATTGGAGCAGCTGGTTGGTACGCAGGACTTTGATATGATGGTTGAATCAGTTTCGGAATGCCCCCAGCAGCATGCGGAAACGTAATTGCGACGTGTTTTTATTTATTTATTCTTTTTAACAAAAGGTTGTTCCTGTAGAAGATTTCTGATGTGTTTTGTTGACTGACCGTTTCTAATGTGTGTTTTGTTGCAGCATGGACTGTGCAATTATTGTTTGCGCAGTAATAAGGCAGTATGTGAATCATGTTGATGTGGGGCGGTCGTTGGAAGGAGGCAACTGTAGCGTGTTACGTGCGGACATGGTGAAAAGATTCATTAGAGATCCTATACGTGGGGTGATGAGCAACATGGGCCGAATGGTTGGGTGAATGAAGTTCAATTACCGTTACGTTACTACGTACTAGAACTACTTTATATTTTGCTGCGTAGATTACAATTTGGAAAAAGTTTTTTGGTTGGCAGTTGCAGTACATACTATTTATATTTTGTGTGTTGGTTTTTTTGTTTTTGCATTGGTTTGTGGTATATAATGTGGGTTTTGTCGTGGATATTTTTGGTTACGTTGAAATTAAATTATGCCTAGATTATAAACAAATAAGAACTATTATGTTACTTCGTTCCGCAACTGTGTTGAATTATAGTGATCAATACGCTCGTTTGAAATACTGATTTACTGTAGTTGCATCGATATGGAAATCTAACTTACTGGTTGTTGTTCTGTTCGTCTTGCTGGCGGTGTTTAAAGTGGATATTTTTGTGTGTTGGTTTTTTGGTTTTCGCATTGGTTTGTGGTATATAATGTGGGTTTTGTCGTGGATATTTTTGGTTACGTTGAAATTAAATTATGCCTAGATTATAAACAAATAAAAACTATTACGTTACTCCGTTTCGCAACTGTGTTGAATTATAGTGATCAATAGGCCCGTTTGAAATACTGATTTACTGTAGTTGCATCGATATGGAAATCTAACTTACTGGTTGCTGTTCTGTTCGTCTTGCTGGCGGTGTTTAAAGTGCATCGTTTCGGGTAGGATGCGACCGTTAGTTGGAGTTGGGAATTTAGGTGTGTGGTGATGGTGTGAGTTGCAAGTTTTGGTTCATGTTTGCATCGTAAATGTGTGTTTGTGGCGTGATGTTCGCACTGTTAAGCTTGTATGAATTAATGACGGAGGAAGTAATATGTTGTTGATGTGCAAAGGCTGGTGTGATATTCACCACATGACGTCCACACGCTTGGGTTGGTTACCCTGCATGTTGTCATACCAAACACGAATGCAGATTATTTGCATGTTCTGTTGTAGTTGTAAAAATACTGCAGTTCAGGATGCACGTAAAGACACGTGAAAAAATGTTGTGGAAGGTATAAGCTGACATATTGGTTCAATACGCGGATGTAAAAGTTTGTGACGGAACTACGTTATCTGCTGTGGAGATAACACGTATGAAATTAAATGAAGGAAACCTATTATTAATAACTGAGTGTGCCAATGATAGTAAATTGGTTATGACATTGTCGTGTGGCGTCGCACACAATTATTGAAATCGAAAAACAATTGATACAAAAAAATTGCATCGAGGAAAAAACTGGAACAGTAATAAGAAAGTATTGTATCGAATATGGCGAGGAAAAAACTTGAGTAGTAGTAATAGTTTAGTGCTGGTGTGGCCGCGTGGAAGGATGTGGTTAAATGGGTTCGTTGCATGTCTTCCTGTTATGATTCCCCATGCGCCCACATCTGCCGCATCTTATTTGCTGAACATGTTCCCCATTTGACAGTATCCTCTTCTTCTTTGGTCTACCGGGTGGACGTTTCACGGCAGGGGGCTTTATGATGTAATCATTTGGGTTGAAAGGCGGTTGCTCGACAGTGGGAATTGGGAAAATACTTGATGCGTAAGTGGCCCGAAACTCGGACACGTGGAAGTATGGTTCGACCAAAGTGTTCAAATCGCGCCCACTCTTACGGACGGCAACCATCGCATGTGCGCAAGGGAACCCATTGAGTTGCCACTTGAAACATGAGCAAGTTCGTCGTCCGATGTCAACAGTGACCGATGGGCATTTGTCGCATCAATTTGGTCCGTATGCTGTCAACCATTCTTGTGATTGGGAGGTTACGGGCCTCACGGACCCATGAGTTGAATGATTCTGCAGCATTTGAGCACATTTCGCCGTAACGTCGCCCCCTGCAGAATGAGTAGAACATGTAGGTAAATAATTATGAACATTATGAGGAAATGTGTTGTGCATGTGGTTTTTATGAGTAACATGTGGGACGGACCTGAACTATGCATTTGCCCAATGTTGTGGATGTGCATTTGCTAGGAATTCAGATGCAACAGACCTGCCCGATTTTTGGAATTGTTCTACTCTGTGGTTAAAAGCGGTAACAGTTGGTGCGTATGCGCAATGTCGTAATTTGCTAACCAAACCTGCCCGATGCATACTGTTTGTGTAACGCAACCTGTCCCTTAAGTTCCTCTGCAAATGTTGTAGACAGAATGCATGTTCTGCATTCGGAAATACGGTGGGCATTGCCTCAAGCAAACCAAGGTTCCGATCCGATACGAATGTTAGAGGTCTGTCACCATGAACCACCTGCGCGAGATGATGAAGAAACCAAGACCAGTTTGAGGTGTTTTCGGAATCCACCACCGCATATGATAGCGGGAACAAACCTGCAGATTTGGAAAAATTTGTAGAACTAAGTATGTACTCCATGGGCAAAGTTTGTGACAGAAACATAGCGCCGGGGGTTAATGACCACGTTAGAATATAGTACAAAGGTGTTGTGGTTGGTTGTCATGTGAATGGGGTATTGTGATTGTGTAAATTGAAGGAACTAACCTTGGTTGCCGTCTTTTGCAGTGGCCGCAAGTAGAAAACCTTTGAAGCGGCCTTTGAGGAACGTGGCGTCTAGGAAAAGCAAAGGGCGGCAATGGTGGAACCCGTCGATGCATGCTTTGAATGAAATGAAATAGCGTCTGAACTGTTGGGTGTGATCATCGTATTCGATGTTAATGTAGGTCCCGGGGTTGTGTTCCAATACTGCGTTGCTATACCAACGTAACTGGTCAAACGAAATGGAATGTGCACCGAACAATTCTCCCCTCGCTTTTTCAACACCGAGCCAGGCCACCCGGTAACTTATATCGAGCCCGTAATCTTGTTTCAAGTCCAATATCACTTCGGTCGGACGGGTTAGTGGTCTATCACGCACACGTTCAGATACAATGTCGGCCACAAGATCAGACCCAACAAGTGGGTGTGTGGACGTACGCACAGCCACGCCACAAATGTGTTCACTGTTCCATTTTCGTAAGTAGAAAAATCCGTTTGCCTCCAATTTCCGTCCGTGCACAGACCACGTGCAAGACTTCGATTCGTTCATAGCACATATAGCCGTTACCCGAACGGAGTCGTTCTTCAGAAATTTGATCTGGAACCCACATTCAACGGCGTATTTCCGTAGTACATTGCGAAATTCAAAAGCCCCATCTTCGAAATGTTGTCCAATGTGGGTAAAACCTTTTGTCCATGGAGCGGAAAGGAAGACTTTCTCCTTGTGGGGACAAAATGATTGCAGCAGGTCGGTTTCATCATCCATTCCGAAATCATTAAGTAGTGCATCCCCCGTTGTGCCTTGATCTTGGATTATCATTGGGTCAATGGCAGGAATGTTATCATCCCGACGAGGATGCTGTTCAATGACCACGTCAATTAACTGCAACTGGAACGAGCGCGCAAGGCAAACCATATTCTTCAGGTCGACATCATTCTGTAAGGAGAAGTTGTTATAGCCGGGAATCTTATAGAACAACTGGAAATTTCCCGGCAGGAGTCCGGAAAACTTCGAACAAACATAATCAACAATCTCAGCAAATGTGTTTGACGATTGCAGATTATATGCGACATTCATGGATCGGTAAGAACAAAGAAGCATCAAAAGGGCGTCCATCTGCATAACGGCACAGGTATCAGTAAGAAATAACACACGACTAAGTATGTGAGAAAGACCCATAACTCGAAGATGAAAAAAATTACGACAGAATTGTAACTACAATGGGAATTGTGCATCGTTGTCAATGTGTGGTTGCAAGTGCGTATCGAACGGGAATACATGGAATTGGCTATTGTGTTGGTGAAGTCTAATGTTTATCTGTAAACATTAACGTGCCAGTGTGTTCCACAACATCTACGAAGTTGTGCATAGGTGAGGGGGGGATTACTGAAGTGTGGGTATGGTGAGTGAGGGATCCGTAACGGAAAATGAAGAGATAACCTGTATGATATGACAGTGTGAACGTAAGCGGCTAAATTTCTAAGGCGCAGAGACGATCATGAACCCAGAATGTAAACCCTAATTATAATACCTCTTAAATGAATTTTGACCCGCTGTCAGGTTCCACAATTGCTGGGATTGCGCATACCAATATGGAAAAACAGAACATCCCATATATTAGCTGAGGCCATATCCGTCCAGGCCAGACAAAAAAATTTAAAAAAGGACTTATGGGTAAGGAATCCCACCTAATATGGAGTTTTCAATCAAAGAAAAAATCAGCAGGACCAACTGGAACACAATTCACCCATAAAGGACTTTCCGATAAATTTTCCTTTTTTTTATTATATAAAAAAATTAAGTTTCACTAACAATCACTTTTAATAGAAAAATAATGTTTATTTCTATTTGATTTTAACAAAAGTCATTTCTTAACTATTTAAGTCAAAAAATTTTATTTTTTTATTTTAATTTGTTTAATTAACAATTGAGATAAAAAATAAAAAAATAGAATCCACCATTTTTGACAAGTGTTTAAAAATTTATTTATTTTCTTGACATTTTTTGCTTTTATTAAAAAAAATATTTGTATTAAAAAAAGTTATTGTTCAAGTCTTGTAATTTAGAAGGATATAATTTTTTTTTATAAAATCTAAAATAAAAAATGACAAAAAAATTAATTTTTTTTAATAGTGATTAATAATTTGAACACGTGTATTTAATAACATATTATGTTTAGACCAATAATATTATGATACATCATTATGATATATGTCAATATTGATCTTATTCTAATTGTAGTATCATAATTTAAAGGGAGACTTATTTATAAGTCCTTTTTCAGACACTTATGGTAGGTTAAGTCCTGTGTAATTTCTTATAGAGTCTCAAATCCTATTTAGATAGAAATGTATTCCACAAGATCCTATATAAACGTAACATGACGTGACACTTACATAAACGTAATGTAACATGACACCTATATAAACGTAACGTAACGTGACACCTACATAAACGTAACGTAACGTGTCACGTTACGTTTCGCAAACTTAATGAGTTTTTATTTTTTTTAAAATTGAATGTAAAAATATTGCTGGTTTATGTTGGTGTCACGTTACGTTTCATATAAATATGATCTATGGTAACATTCAATTTCCTATATAGGAAATTGAATGTTGTCATAGATCATAGGTGTCACGTTACGTTTATGTAGGTGTCACGTTACGTTACGTTTATGTAGATATAGGAAATTGAATGATACCATAGATCATATGTGTCACGTTACGTTTATGTAGGTGTCACGTTACGTTACGTTTATGTAGATAGGATCTATGGTAGCATGCAAGGAAATTGCATGTTACCATAGATCATAGGTGTCACGTTACGTTTATGTAGGTGTCACGTTACGTTACGTTACGTTACGTTTATATAGATATGATTTATGGTAACATTCAATTTCCTATATATAGTTTTACTATTATTTATTATATTAACAACTAATATTGAGGGTAAATGTGTCAACAAACTTCTCACAGGACTTATGGGAACATAAGTTTTTTAGTAGGATCATATGTAGCATAAGTCTCCCTAATAGGACTTATAAATAATTTTTCCTAGTTTGAAATTATATTTTTTAATTTAATAAAGGATGCATAAATTAATTAATGAATATTGATCTTATTCCAATTATGTTAACATAATTTAAGGAAGAATCTAAATTTAAAATTTTATTTTAAAAATATAGAATTAATTTATATACCAATCATATTGTGCCACATATTAACCAAAATTGAACAAAAAAAAAAAAGAAAAGAAAAATAATTACAATTTTCAACCTTAGATAATAAAGGTATTATAATTTTACTAGGATATAAATACACTGTCGAGAATGTAAGTATAAAGTATCTAGAGTAATGTTAAAAATTCTAAAAGTTTTATTAAATTTTTTATCAAATATCTTATATAAATATGGGACCCACATCATAAATTTTTTATCAAATATTTTATATAGGCATGGAATCCACACTTTATAAATCTCCCACTTATATAAAATATTTGATAAAATTTTTAAGGGGGTCTAAGTATTTTTCAGTATCTAATGGTAATAGGGCATGAAAGCAAAAGCCTGTCAATTGGTGGGTCCATTCTATAGTTGGGGCATCATAATATTCGTCACAATACACTTAATGAAGCCGACACACTGAGCTTTCCCAAGTGTTGTCTGTTCACATTAGCCAAAGCAATTTGCATATTTACGCGTTCAATTCTCAATGAAGCAAAAACTGAAAGCAACTTCGAACCTTTCTTTTGACTTATTCATTATTGATCTAGAACACTTCTTTCTTGATTTAAAAATGTTTTTCTATCCATATGTTAGATCTCACTCACATCTAGTCATGGTTTAACCTGCTAAAGAAAATCCAAAACACTTTTTGCTCGGATTGTACTATGATTCAATAGGCAAATTAGGTAACCAAAGTCAGTGGTGGCGAGGGGGTTACTCGTATGTGGTGTGGTTTGGTGAAGAGCATGTGTTCGAGACAATATTTTTAACTATATTGATCTTGAATCACTGATTTTGTTTTGAAAAAATATTTATAGATGTCTGTGTGTTGTCTGACTCTCAATTGATATGGATTTCTATGATCACACTCAAAAAAAAAAAGGGAAAAATCTAATAGATCCAACCTATAGCCAATAGATATGGACTTTTATGTATCTTTCTAATAAAATAAGGAGATACATAACCATTTTATCTCTAATTTTTCAAACAAAATAATCATATTTCTCTTATTATTGAATAGACACATAATTATATGAGCAAGTCACAGCTGACACATAGCTTATCTTAAAGGCGATTGCCATGTGCTAATAGCTCCATCCAAAAAGTACACAGTTTTTCTATGAATACAAAAACCAATTTCTACAACGTTAGTTAGTAGAGTATATTTTCGAAAGAGTAAGGTTTTGTTTGACATTTGCTAAAATAGCATATACTATTTTAGCATATTATCTTATTTGAGTCATAATCATCTTATTTAGGCTACATTACCCTTTTACCACATCATTTCAAACCCAATTCATATTTCACATATTTTTTGCAAACAGTAAAAAAATATACTAATCTAACGCTTCCCAAACAACCCCTAAAACTAAGTTCACAGAGTATTTTTATAGAATGGGACAAATGTGAGACAAACTATGGGTCACGTTTACATTTATATTTCATTTTGTGAAAATCTTCTTTTGCTCATTGCATAGTTGTTTTTGAAAAAGTTTATCCATTCATATATATTTGATGTCCAATTTCTATGTTCGTAAACTTATTTGTAAAATACACAACCATGACAAAAAAAATCCTAAGTATTTCTCATTTTTATATATGACAATATGCTCTAGGTGTGAAATGGGCATGATGACACAGCGCATGAGCTAGGGTAGGTTGGGGTTATAGAATATTAACAAGGAAAGAGTAAAAAGGAGGGTTCTACGCGTATCTTTCTGTTTACAAAACTGATCTTAGTTAGCTTATTGCGACACCAGAGTAGTTGGTCTGTTGATATTCTAGACATGTTTAGTACTCTAGAAACTAATTTCATATCCACTTGTGAGAAGAAGTAAAGAACTTGATCTTCGGAATCGCCTTCTTGACACTTTTGGAACCTCTTTAGTATGCATTTCCCACTCCTCAACAACTCTTTCAACTTCTTCTCCTTCTGCATCCATTCCAACAAGAAAAATTAAAACATTAAGTCAGGTCAAAGATCATCTATCTTTAAATTTCTCTCTTCTTTTATTTTGATAAACATCAATCATTCAGTCATATGAAAAATTTAAAGCACGTGAATTTTCAAACAAAATCTAACTTTTACGCTGTGTTTGGTTGGAGGATTTGAGGAGGGATTTGGAAAGGGAAAGGGAAAAGTTAGGTGAAATGTGAATAAAATGTACCTACATTTCACCTAGTTTCACACACCTTTTCCCTTTCTCATTCCAAATCCCTTCCCAAATCTCCGAACCAAACACAGCATTAGGAGTGCATTAAGACATTAAGATTTGAAAACAAAGGAATGTCATACGATTGAATTGATAGCTAACCTTTTGAAGATTGGCTCGGATCTCCCTCAAAAGATCTGAGTCTGTAGGGTCTTCAAACTCGACATGAGGGCCTCTTTGACATTTTACAATGGGGATAGAACAATCCTTATCAGCACGAACAAAGCGCCAAAAAATTCGAATGGACTCTTCCAAGATCTCTACAAGCATATCACTTGTAATGGAGTACTCTCTCACTTTAATTGCCTTCTTTCTATCCTTTGTACTGTCCTCTGCATTAACACAATTAAGCTTTAAGAACTCTATTTTTGTTAACTGAATTAATTTATCTTAAAACTCCTTTGCCATCAACTTAAGAAATGAATACTTGTTACATAATCAATGTTTAAAACCCCACGTAGCTAAATTAGGACTATAATGAGTTGACAATGAAACCACCAAATTGCATGTCACTAAATATCCTACAAAAATTAATTAAATTATCACTTTTAAGAATTTGATACCAAGGGATGGCCAAGTGCATAAAGCACATTTTTTGTTGAACATATTTAAATTCGAGTCTCATCGCTACTAGGCTAGCTCCTTTAAGACTTTCACCTAAAAGTCTCAACTTTTCACCCATTTAATCTTTTTCAAATAAAACCCCAACAATTTAAAAAAAAAAAAAAAAAAAAAAATTCCTTGTCCAAAAGTTCACACCAAAAAATAAAATAAAAATCTTTATTAACTAAAGGCTTAATCAAACATGTTTTATTTTCAAAGGCAAAACAAAATAAAAATCATTTTGACCATAATCCCAATAATTCAATAATAAAGGTTGAATGATGCATTTCTTGTTCAAAGTCCAAGTAAGAAAAATAAACCTCTTTAGCTAAAAATCCAATAAAATAAAAAATTTCATTGTCCAAAACCCTCCCAATAGTAAACGTTATAAATATTGTGATCATAATAACACATATGCAACCAAAAAAAAAAAAAATTGATTTAAATTTATTTTTTTTAAATTTAAAACTTAAATAAAATAAAATCCAAAGTTATGTACCTCTAATAACAGGAACTTGAAGAAGATTACGCAGAACACATCTACTCTTAACATAATTCTGAACTCTTGGGGCTTGAAAAGGTTCATCCTCTATAAACCTTTGAAGAAGAACTTGAAACTGTTGAAATTCACCAGCAACTTCGTTATATTGCCGAACACAACGAGGGTCATTTTCCCAGAGTTCCAAGGCCTTGCCATATTGCCAGTGTAGGATTTCCCAGGAAAGGCACATCTGCCCAACATACACCACTTCTAACTCACTCTGCAATTCTCTTATGAATTTCATCATTGGGTCGCTTCCAATTTTCTTGCTTCGTTTGCCTAGATTTAGATTTTGGGGAAGAAGGGATGCAATTGATGGAACTGAAGAAGATTTCTGGGTTGAAATTGACTGAAGCGGGTCCTTTAGCTGCAGAAAACCTGTCCATAATTTTTACACAAAATTCGTTATTTTTAAGAATTATGTGTCCATAGAGACGATTATTTAAAAAATTTAATAAATCTATATTTGTTGTTTGTTTCTTAATACTTCAATTATTTTGTATGATTTTTGAGCTATGTAATTATGATTTTAATGTTTAATTATTAAATTATCAATTTAAGATATTTTATAGGTTGATATAATTTATATAAATTAAAAAACCTACTTCTATGACTTTTGTAATAGAAAAAAATAACATAATGACATTTACATATTAAATTGTAGTATAATATGTAAATGTCATTGTTTACTTTAAACTAATAAAATTAATATTTGTTTTGTATTAATTTTTTTTTCCATTTATTTAGCAATACTCAATTACGTGTAATAATAATTAAATAAAAGTATTGAAGAAAGATGTAACAGGTGACTCGTGCATTAATCACACGGAAAAGCCATTTTGAATACATCGACTTTCTCTAGATTGTGTACCACAATTAAGAAAAGTATGTTCAAATCAGTGAGCCAAAAAAAGATTTCGTGGACCACTTCATAAAAATTTTGATGACTTTTAGGACAATAAGAAAACTATATGCAGAAGTTTGGTGGAGCTATTCCTTATTAAAATAATGTTTCAATGTAAAGGTGGAGAAATATGAAATTAAAAGTTGGATGGCATTAGTTTTATGAATATGACCTTTAACTTATAAGAATGTTTCACTAAAGAATATAGAAATTAGGTTAACTCTATGTCCAAATTGTTGCTTGACTCGAATAACATAAACAACCTGACAAGTAAAAAACAGTGTGCATATCAGATGATACCCGTCACCTATTCTGTTAGTGCATTACGTTAATAAAACTCGATACAACCCAAAGGACATGGTACTTACACGGTCAAGAAGCCAAACCCCTCCTATGACATTATATATATATATTATTAAATGAAAGTTTCAGTTGGTGTAGTGAAATCTTACTTTACTCGTGTCACGTGACAGTATTTTTTATTTAAAAAAATAATAGTTACACAAAAAGGTGACTAAGAATTAAATCCATAACTATGACTTCAAAGCAGAAGAACTCATACTACTTATGCTAAGTAAACATTATAATATTAATTTTATTATTATTTTATTTTATTCTTACTTATTTAAATTGAGTACGTACCTACTAATATATATATATATATATATATATACATGTCAAGAGGAAAAAGTGTATCATCCTTTTATCACTGGGCCAAAACTGTTTTGATCATCATTCTAATGCTTGTGAGCTGAACAGGTTCATGTTTTTTGTGTTAGTGCTGAGAGGCCAACTAACCAGATTGAGTGGGTCCTTTCCTTTCGCTAACTTGTTAATTATGAAAGGTAGGTTGTATAATTCATGTCAGCTGATTAATTGGTTCAGACCACAGGTAACATTTGTTGATAATAATGGAAATGCCACGCTTATTTACATCATGAGCATAACAAACACTAAAATAAGACAAAAAATTATGTTATGATTATTATGAAGGAATCCAAATTAAACAATGGAATAATCTGAGTGGCAAGTGGAACCACAAAGGGTCTTAAAAAGTGTAAATCCAATCTTATCCTATAAACAGCAATAGCCCATATTCAATATGTGTGGAACAGGTAGTGACGGAGTCAGAAAATTAAATCAGGAAGGGTACTTATTAATTATAGTTTTATTTATTTTTTCATAATCAACGATAAGAAAATAATAATAATTTTTGAATTAATGGTAAGTATAAAAAATTAAATAAATTGTTACAAAAGTATTTCATATAAAATTTTACAATTAATTTCGAGTAAAATCGAAAGGAAAGTATTGCGTGTAATTAGTGTATCATGGACAACGTAAAAAAGTCATATATTTAAGTCGTAAAATAAATTATATAATGATAAGATAAATCAAATTTTTACAAAATTTGAGTAAAAATTTTATATAATAGTGATATCATGCCATTATTGACATATGATATCACCAACTAATAGTAAAACAATATAAGGGTGAACTCCAAATGCAAATATAATTAACACTCTAATAATTTTTACATATATATAGTGAGATTAATTATATTTACATATTAATAATGATAGATATTACCTTTATATTGAGATTTTTTTACAAAATTTTCATACATAAAAATATAATTCGTTGTAGTCACTTCATTTTCAATAAAATAATCACAATTGTTTTCATAAATTTAAAAATACACTTGATATTTTATTCTAAATATTATTTTTATTTAAAATTTTATTTATATACATAAAAAAAAAATGAAAAATCCAAAGAGCACGTGACCCTCTAGTCTCCATGTGACTCCGCCAAATGTTCAATATGTGTGAGACAAGAGTACTGCATCTATTCTATCAAGATTAACGAATAAAATAGTTCATATAATTGAAAGAGTGCATATTTTTCACAACTCTCCGATCCAATATGTATTACAAATTAATTGTGTGACGAAAGTAACAAGGTAAAATACCTTGGACTCGTAACTAGAACTTTTCTTATTAATATATGTTGCTTTTTTATCAAAATAATAATAATAATAATAATTCTATGTACTCAAATTTTTACTCTATATAACATGTAGTCCAAATTCATATGGTCATTCAATTTTTTTTTTCCAAATTCATAATAAATGTGAACCTATTAAAAAAAAAAAAAAAACTGAATATGTAATTTTTTTTCTGGGTAAAATTATGTTATGCGTTCCTAGAATTACTGAGAAAAAATGGTAGGGAAAATGTGAAGGACTGACCTATTGCATACATCTTCTGGTAATTCAAGATGTCGAATTTCCTCATCCTCTCTCTGTAGCTCTTGTAGAATTTGTGAAGCTCTCCCATTCGGTCTGCATGCTGGAACTTCTCGTCAATCTTCCATGGCTTCAAATCTTCCATTATCTTCGGAGACTCCGATTCTTCTAGGATTGTGGGCAGCCCTGTAGCCCTCACCTTTTTTAGCTCCATCTTCAACTGTTCAATCAATTCTTGATGTTCCCATAACGTTTCCAACTTGTTTGATTCCTCCGAATCCCATTCCGATGCATTCTTTGAATTGGGTTTTTCAGAATCATCTGCAGGGTCTGCTGGTTTATCATCCTGGCCTCCAACTTCTTCATGCTTGGAATTTTCTACCCCTCCAAGAAAATCTTTCCCAGATAGAAAATCTGAATTCAACTTTCCTACCTTTCGGAAATGAACCTCTAATTTCTCAAGCTCTTCCATTGTATACACATCTTCTTCAAAGTTATCCTCTTTGTGTTCCCCGCTCGAATCATCCAAATGATGATCTTCTACCTTCTCTCCATCGATGTCCATTGAATTGTCAATCATAAATTCTCCTCCAAAATCTCCGTCTGATAGAAACCCATCACTGTAGGAATCGATTAAACGATTCATAATCAAACGCAGAGGACTCGAACTGATTGACTCCGAGTCAGAGTCCATCGCGAATGAATCCATTTCAGAGTGAAGGATTTCATCAGAAACATCTTGTCCCTTCTCTTCCATAAATGCCATTGCCTCAATTTTCTCCGATACATCACCCGTACCCAAATCACTAGCCAAGTCCTCTGATAGTTCTTGATGAATAGTTTTTGTTTCAGAATTAATCTGCATAAAATCTTTATCTGCCAAAAAGCCATCATCGACACTATCTTTATCATCAAAAGGACAACAATCCATATCAGTATTTAATTCTTCGGCATTAAAGCTCACCACCTCTGGTTCTTCAATGGAGTCACTAGAACACTTGACAGGCATGAACTCATACTTAGCGATGCTCGTATCTGGGGCTGCTTCAAAGCTGATAGAACCCCCATTTTCTTTCCTGTTCCGATTGAATTCTTCAAAAGTTGGAAACTTGAATTTGAAAGAGAACTCGGGTGTCTGTTTTTGGTCAAGCCCATCAGAAAATTCATTGTCTTCTTGTTTGGATTCGACCCCTGTGTGTATCCACGGTTGCAACTCTGTTTTTGGCTCAATAGGAATCGAATCTTTAAGACTGTTTTCTGCAGAAGAAACCTCCGATTGTTTTGAATTGTCCTCCGAAGACCTGTCATTTCTTTTGAATATGTAACAAACAAAATAATCAGAAACAACATAAGATTTTAAAACAAGTAAGATTTTTTTAATTGCCATAAAAATAGAAAAAGAAAATTGAAGACGAGTTTTGAAATACCTGAAAAGGTATCTCTTGAAGAAATCGAACAGAGGGAAAAAGTAGGTGGAGACAGAGAAGCAAAAAATGCCGACAAAGAGAACAAAATTTTGGTACAAGAACTGTGTGTCAGAACCCATATCCACTGATCGAAATGGGAACACCACACAATTAAGCATTCACTCACCCATCAATTTATTTAACCTGTCTGTGAATTCAATTCGAAGCAAAAAAACAGGGGAAACAGAGAGAGAGAGAGAGAGAGAGCAGTTCAGAGAACTCATAGCCCTTTTGAAATTTTTCAGAGAAGAATGGACTTGGTACCTGAAACCCAAAACGAAAACGAAAATCAAATAAAAAATGAAAGAGTAGCACAGAGATTTGACTGGGAAAGAGGTGGAAATCTGACCTAATTTGGAGGGGTTAAGGGGAGAGGGAAGAGGGGGGTTGAGATTTGGAAGCAAGATTTAAGGGGGGGAGATAGTTACAGACCAGCGACTAAGGGGGTTTGAGCTAATCTTATGGTTGCTTAGAGGCTTGGAATTCTGAGGTCAGTTATGTCTATGACTATGTCTATGTCTATTGAGAGAGAGAGAGAGAGAGAGAGAGAGAGAGGGGGGGGGGGGAGGGGGGGGGGTTAGAAGATCTATCAGTTGAAGGGTCTGTTCTTGCTGTTTATTATTTTCTGTTGATCACTGTTTGAGAGAGAGAGAGAGAGAGAGAGAATGAGAATGAGGTTAAATTGAAGATTTACGCCTGTCTCGTTGGGAGATGGGAGATGAATATATTGAAAGTTTACGTCAGATTGATATAATTGGTAATAAGATTTTGGGAGGCAGAGGCTTGTTTTGGGGGGAAACAGTGTGAAATGAAATGGGTCGAGCCGACCTATTTAGTTTTGGAGAACAGGATGACAGTGGGTATTAGGGGTGAAGAAAAATGCTTGGAAGCACTAATTAGTGCTCCCACTAATTAGGTGGCAGTGAGTCTCGTCATTAATGATGTGATGTTTTGGCTTTGGAGTTGTATTTTTTTTTTATTTTTTTTACTTTTTTAATGCATTAGTGTTATTAGTGGTAATGTTTTTAGTGGGATGAATCATTGTTGTAGGGGTGAAAGTGGGTTGATTGCAGTTACGGAATTTTTAATTTGTTATTTGTCTATTAGATTGGTACGTTAAAAAAAATCAATTAAGATTCATCCTTAAAAACCAAGTTAATTTTTTTCATCCAATACGGGGCTCAACACTCACACGGGCAGGCATGCCAAGTTGAATTTTTGTATCCCAAATAAATAGGGCCTCAATACTCACAGGGGCATGTCAATTAGGAATGGGTGCTGGTTGATTGCAGTTACGAAATTTTTAATTTGTTATTTGTCTATTAGATTGGTACGTTAAAAAAAATCAATTAAGATTCATCCGTTAATTTGGCAGATATAGATTAAACGGATTGATGGAAAAATATAAATCGATTTAACAGTTTAAAATTTTATAAAATTTTAACATAATTCAACTTGTGCACTAGTATTACAGTTAATGACTTAAAAATGTATTATAATCACTGCATGCCTCATCCAAAGAAAGAAAATTTAAAATTTTAAAATATTACAATCACTGCATGCCTCGTCCACATATTACAATCACAGTATGCCTTATCCATATAAAATATTACAATTTGTAATTCATAAAATATAAAAACAATTCAAACCACCAAAACCATGAACATAATAGTAATAGAGATTGTATGTCTCTATATTATTATATCTATATCTGTTTTTGAAAATAAAAATCAACTAGCATATATCATCTTTTTTATTTATTATTTTTAGAGTTAGATTTAAAAATAAAAAAATATAGATAAATAATACATTTATTTTTTTCAATTCAAAAAATATATTCAAGTTGAAAACTCTTTTTCAACAGAACATATTCAACAGAATATTTAAACTATTTTTTAATTAAAAACACAAACAGAATATTTAAATAAATTAAAAACACAAAATCTTACAAATTACTAAGGATGTTCGGGGTTTGGCAGTTCAGTTGCAGTTAAAGGAACCTCAAATCCACCATCTGTCTAAAACTAGGCAGACTAGAAAAAATCAATCCGCAACCGTCCGTTCATTATCACGCATCCGTCTAAAATACGACAAATCGGTTCGGTTCGATCGGTTTGGACGGATAGATATATCCGCTGTTCACTCTTAGTATGTATATGCATTTTATAATTAAAAAATAATAATAACATAATTTTATATTTTTTGAATTATAAATTTAAAAATATATATATGATAATTAAATATAATATAAGATATAATTAACGAATTCATAAATTATAAATATAATAATATCGTAATTAAAAAAAATGACATAGACTAAAAAAAGTCAAAAATCTAAATTTTTGGTTTTTTTTTTAAAAACTTTTTGGTGACTTTTTTGCGTAAAAAATTAAAAAACCAAAAAATTGACTCTTTTAACAAGTTCCCAAATTGCCCCATAGTGTTATTATATTAAGACTGAATTTAGATAAGAAAAATCCTATATGCACTAATTTTTATATCAATTAATATATTAATGAATGATGTGACATAGTTTTAAAATGGTGCTACATGCATTAATTAGTGTGCTAACTAGTGTACCAATATTAGTTATGACATTATGATTGACCTTACTAATTATACAAATTACAAATATCAAAAACATCTCAAATTATGCCACATCATCAATTGGCACACTAGTTAGTGCATTAATTGGTACAGATAACATTAATCATAGTTTTATTAGTTTTGAATATTGGTGGTGCTACCTGCACTAATTAATGTACTAATTAATGTACCAACACTAGTTCTAACATTATTATTGACTCAACTCATTAATCACATTACAATTACTAAAAATCTCTAAAATTATGTCACATCAACAATTGGTAAACTAATTAATACACTAATTTATGCATATAATATTATTCTTTGAATATTTGTAGTTTATATAATAGAAGGAGTTCATAATTTTAACATTATAATACTATAGTATGTGTTAATACATTAATTGATATAATAATTACTATGTATAGCACCACTGGTCTTAATTAATAACTAATAAATTTATAATTTATTATTTAATATTTAATATTTTTATATATAAATCACATAAATAATAACACATAATATTCTTAGCTATCTATTTATAAATCAACACAAACCTTACTATGCTAAATTGCAAGATTAAAAAAAAAAAAAAAAAAAAAAAAAAAAAAACTACTAGTAATTCAAGGAGATTTGTTGGTTGGCCTAAATTATTTTTCTTCATTATAAGGTTAAAGTTTGATTCTCCCACTGTGAGGCCTATTTTCTTTTCTTTTCTTTTCTTTTTGTGCAGTATATCTGTCATTTTAGAAATTTACGTGATTACAATTTATAAATTAATTTCTAATTCATTTTACTTCATTGTAGGGCGATAAATTCTAATAAAAAAATTAAGAATTAATAAAGGTCGGTACAGTAGAGGAGACCCATCCAAGGGTCAATTTGAATACGAAGTCTACTATTAATACCTGGTTGTCAAAATTAATACCTTGGTTGTTTTGTTTGGAAAATAAATTTGTGATGACAAATTGTTATAAAGTTTAATATCAATACCTAGTTATCAAAAGTAATGCCTTGTTTGTTTTATTATTATTGCCTTAATTTTTTCTACTAACGTAGGCCAATCTCCAGAACATGTACACCTATGCAAACATCATAATGATTATATCAAAATAATTATATTCACATGAGTTATTTTAGGGACCTCAAGTATTCTATCAAACTTAGTGGGACCTATACACATGTGGATTTGTATGAATCTCACTTTATATGAGAGGTTTGATAGAATATTTAGTAAAATATTTAGGATACCTAGCATTTCTCTATTCACATTCCTAGCCAACAACAATACATGGTCATGTTTAATTCATAAGACTAATAGTGAAGTATTAATAATCCTATTAAATTAGTGTGGTATTCATTATCTAATTGGATTAATATCCATTGGATTAATAATCTCACTCCTACCTCATTACTAATAATCCTTGGATTAATTATCCATTGGATTAATAATCCTAAACCAAAATGTTAAAACAAACATAGAATAATTGAGCCCACGGATTAACAATCTCAATCCTATGCTCTAATCCACCCAATCAAATATGCCAATAGATGCCACAACTTCACAACAAATACAAGGAATCATTAAAAGAAAGTTAAATCGAAGACCACAATAATTGAGATATTAATGTTTTCCCCCAATTACATTAATTAGAAAACTTGAAATAGTCTCCCCTAAAAAAAATATAAAGACTTTTATTTGTTATTAACACTTATCTTTCTTTCATTAACGACGAACATTTCTAAAAGTATAGTCACATTTGACCTACCCCTATAAAATAAATTTTAGATATATGTAATCACTTGCCAACTACATGTATCTTGTAAGTTCAAACGCATTACCAAGAAAGATTTTTCAAAACATTCAAATTTACGGTTCATCTTAGAGACTCTTAACAAAAGGCTATCCTATATAAGTTGAAAATAGAAGTTAAATAAATATGATTGAAAGTAATTTTGAAAAGAAGAAGAGTGTTTAGCAAATATACACAACATATTAAATTCTCATTAGTTGTTTATGCTGACTAATTAATCATATGTTGTGTTAGTGAAAGTGTGTAGATGCCATTGGACTGTTGTAAATTGTAATGTATACATTACATTAATTATAAGTTTATTAGTCACTGCAACTTTACCTTCTCTTGTACCTTGGTTGCTAGATTAGGTAAGGAAAAAAAGGGAAAATATATGTAATTTAAAAAATTATATTTATAATTGGGACACTTGAAAAATGCAAACATTAAACATTAAGCTAAGACTAATAATAAAAACTATTTGACTTTAATAAATTATAAGTTTATTAGTCACTGCAACTTTACCTTCTCTTGTACCTTGGTTGCTAGATTAGGTAAGGAAAAAAAGGGAAAATATATGTAATTTAAAAAATTATATTTATAATTGGGACACTTGAAAAATGCAAACATTAAACATTAAGCTAAGACTAACAAAAACTATTTGACTTTAATAAAGTGACTTTTACATTCCTTTACCCAGAAAAGGAGGAAACAAAAAATAAAAATAAAAATAAAAAAAATAGAAAATGGAAGCCAAGCATCAAAAGCAAGAGGCTAAAATGTCTTCCTTTTGGTGGGTAAATGATTCAAAATTTTCTTTATTTTTCTTCTCTCCCATTCCCAATAAACCTACCATAACCATAAAGCAATTATGTGTAATATTCTTATTGGCTACTTAAATTGAACTTGAATTGTATGTTATGCGAGACAAATCACTTGATTGAAGTTTTGTCTCACTCCAAATAAAACATGGTTTTAGATTTAAGAATGAAACAAACGTTTTTAGACAAATGGACATGTATGTAATTAGTTCAAATTTTTTTAAGTACTTTAACTTTTTTGGGGGGCTACTTTTAAGACTTGTACTTGATAGTTCCGTGATAAATTTGAAACGGGTTAAACAGTATCTGTTAATGTTTCTATCAATGAATTTCATTTCAGATCCACTTCAACAATTTAAAGTGTTCACTTTATGGTATTCATCGAGAAGATAATTTAAATAACAAATTAAGTTGATTAGATATTGATAAATATATGATTAAGTTTTTTTTGTTTTAAAAAATACGGATAGTATATTCTTAAAATCACATTTATTATCTAATTTCTTAAAACAAATATGATTTAATCATGTAACTGTCATGTCTGATCAATTTTATTTTTTACATAATTATTT